CTACTCTTAAAGATGGCACTATGATTTAAAATAAATAGTAAAATGTCACTGGTGGTATTAACATATTTATTCATAACTAGTGTTTCAAAGGAGTTCATAAAAGATGTTTTATAGTGGCTGACTATGTTTTTTGGATCTTGATCAAAATGTTTCCAAAGAAGGCTCAACAAGCTACTAATCCACAGAAGACTCAGAAGAGGTGTACAATGTTCACAATCATCAAATCAAGTTGTACTTACGAGATGCCATGCCAAGTTTCATTTTTCTGATTTCTGGCTTGCAATAAAAGTTTACTTAACAAAGTCAGGCTGTTAAGTAGCCAATTTCAACTTAATAACTCTATTATTAATAAAATTTGTTTTCATACTGCAAAGACATGTCCTCATAAAAGAAATATAATTATCTAAGGATATATTAAATATTTGTTTAAAAAATTTGGGGTAAAACCTAATAAAAACAAACAAAACCTGCATCAATGTTTAAAAAATTAAATATTCTTAGAAACTAAATTTTATAAATGTAAAACATTAAAAATTAAATTCTTTAAATCTTCTTGATAAAATCTAAGACAAGACTTAGTCAGTGTCTTTCTTATATTCATCTTTAACTCAGCGTTGTAAGGGAAAGCACCTTTCAATCCCTACAAACCACTGAAACTCTTCTAGTTTATATTAGGTCTCCCTCATTCAGCAAATTAATAATATAAATAAATCAATTTATGACATTATAAGATAAATCCTAATTATAATCATTCAAATGTTCCAAGAATTTCCAGATATGTACTTAATTAACTGCTATTTTTAAAAGGTTTTTCAGAATTATCTACTTTTGTATCTTTTTTCTCAAAAGGCTAACAAAAAAGCTCTTCCTCATTAATAGGCTCATTAATTCCTACTTGACCATTCCTTTCTCTCCTGTTTTTATTTTTCTCAATTTATAAAATGTCCTTTACCTTTACTGTACTTACTCTCCTTGCTTTGTACTTCATAAATGTATGCTTTATATTCTATCAGTATTTATAAATATTGATATTTTCCAATTGGTTTGATAAAAACAAAGAGTGTCATGTACGCATAAAGAAGCAGAATCACATGGGTTGTTATTGTCTCATATGTGAGGAAGCCTCTAGATTATTTAGCACAAGCTAAAATACTTGTCATTGGGTTGTACAATCACAATGAACTAATACATAAGCCCTAATTAAATCGTTTGTGAATCTTTTCTCCTTTCTACCTATGCACGTTCTTAAAAAAAAATTAGAAAGTCAGTGAACCCATCATAGAAATAAACTAAGGCCTAAAAATTTTTGTGGTTTTATTAAATACAATTTATAAGTAAACAGATGAAATGCTGATGTGGGAAAGCGAGGAAGAGAAAGAAAAGAAGGAATCAATCTTATACTAGTGGCAGATTTCTGACCTGATCAGAGAAAAACAAGGCATAGAAAATTCTTTCAGTTTTCTTTAGGCATTATCTAGGAAAGTTTAAGCAATAGTATATCACTTGATCTCAAACACTGCATGTCATCATCAATAGTTACAGATTACTACAGGAGTAAAGATAGTGAACCAATAAGAGTCAGGATGCTGTTGTTAGTGAACTTTAATTAGAAGCCTAACTTTGACATACATTTATGAGCTTTATAATCACAAGTCTTTATCTATACAAAGAGGGTAATAAAAACACCTATTTCATTAGATTATTATGAAAATTAGGTAATACATACCAAATGCTTAACAAAATTTCTGATACTTAGAAAATATATTTAAAATGCTAGACATTTATTAATATCTTCACTGTAAGTAAAGCATTTTATTTACACCTCAGGTAGACCTGATCATAAAACTATTCTACTTGAGACTTTACTGGCTTCTCACTGACTCTAAAGTCCTTAACATAACATACAAGGTACTTCAATAATCACCTCTCATCACTATTCCTTTTCTTCTCCAAACCAATCCCTATTAGACTTCAGTTCCTCAAATGTACCAAACTCACTTTGCTTTCCTCCAAGTATTTCCATACGAAGCTTATTTTGCATGCAACACTCTCTTCTATCTCTTTCTTCTTTCAGTGTATAACCATTACTTCTTCCAAGAGCCCATCCCTAACCTGCTGACTAGTCTACATCAATCAGCTTAGTATTGGTGGAATATCTCGCAACCAGAATGTGTCAAGACTGAGGATAAAATCCAACATGCTGAGACTGACCTGTTGGAAGGATAAAAAGCGCCCAGCTCTGCTTACCTCCAAACTGTCTGCTATATTAACAATAATGTACTTATTTAAGCCAATGTTAACAAACTACAACCCTTATGCCAATCTAGCCAGCTGCCTATTTTTGTAAATAAAGTTTTATTGGAATACAGCCATACCATTCATTTAGTATTATCTATGGCTATTTTCATGCTAAAAGGACAAAGTTCAGTAGCTGTAACAGAGGCATATGGCCCAGAAAAGCCTAAAGTTTTTTCTATCTAGCTCTTTACAAAAAATATGCTGCCCCTGATTTAAGCTACATTTAGTTAGATTTTTTACATATAGCCAAAAGCATTCTAACTCATACAAGTTAGTTTCCTACTGAAACATTCATCTGACTCCACTGTAATTATTTATATATCTGCCCTTCTACATATGCTTATTTTGCTACATTCATAGAATCTCCAAGTAGCACTGACGGGCCACTATGTCCCTATTACCTAAAGTAATACTTGACAAACAGAAGGAATTCAAATATTGTTGACTGAATAAGTGAACAAATGAATGAGCATATCTGATCAATAACCAATAAATATTTATTAACAACTAACATATATATTAGGAATTCTGAGTGTTAAAAAAGAGTATAAGACACATTCTCTGTCCTGAATGGTTTAAAAATCATGTTTACGAAATAAACATGTTAAGCCATAATATATATATATAATATATATATATATATATGCTATTTCTGGAGCAAAGCAGGGTGCATCTGTCATATATAAATACTACCATGTTAAATGTATACAATGACACAGCCCCTACCCAAAATCCTAATGTTAGATTGTACCAAAAGGTTAGAATTTGTGTTGTGTTAGATTGTACCAAAAGGTATGAATTTGTGTTGTCAGCACTAACCAGAAGAGAGGGCACATTGACATAACACTACCCTGTACTATGACCCACAAAAACCATGAAGACGACAGAAGCAGGCTACTTACAGCTTTTCTGGCCTCAGTACTTGGGGCTCTTCAACTGACACTGTCTATTTCGACTTTGTTCATTGACTTTGTTGAGATTTAAGAAATAATGACAAATACAACATTATTGTCTTGTGAACCTGTCATCCAGGAATCAGTCCCTTGAATACGATCAACTCTGAGTGATGGAAGAATCTAACCTGTAAAAAAGCTGGTTCAGAACTTCAAGATTAATGTCACCATGTGAGACCCTTTCCTGAAACTACCCAACCTCTCTTTTTATTCATGTTCTCATTTTTCTTACCTTTAAAATCACCCAACTAATGCTCTATGTAATATCAACTTTACACAAATGTGTAAATATTCTAAAAAAGTAAAATTTAGTGAAGTAGAAAGCAAAAATTTAATGACCAGTAAAAATCATAGTCACTTCACACAGTCATGTAATATTGAAATGTAAACCAAAAGGAAGAGGGGAAAAAAAGAAACAAGGAGTATCTCCTTGACTGACACAATTTACTTGTCCTCTTAGTCCATATTTTTCAGTCTCAGAAACCTATTCTACATCCCCTGTTCAAATCTACCATCCTCCTTTCTCCTTTTATCAACAGATATCCCCCATACCCTCTCTGATCCTCATTCCACTCTACCAATTCAGGCTAAGTCAGCCTCCCTATCCTTAAAACCAGATATCCGACCCTATCTCCTCTCCTGTAATATTTGACAATCCTTAGAACTAGAAAAAGACAGAATTCAGAATTTTGCAGGACCACAAGTGCTCAATGCGCATTAATGGTTGTAGGGTGGTCAGGGGAAAGAAAGTCTCATAATGTTATATTCTTCCAAAATCCACCACAAATTTATCATTTCAAAGAATACATAAAAGCCAAGAATCTGGGCAGTTCTATATATCACTATAAATCTGTATAAAAAATTAACACATAGACAAAGAGAGGGATAAGAAGAGTTCCATATCCTTCAATAAACTAAATTCTTCACAGGCTCAAGATCTCAAGGAACCATATCCAAGATATTGGTAAGCTCTTCAATTTAACACTGAAAAATGATACACTAAAGATAAACACTTTTGTACTGAAGTATTAAAGTGAACATACATAAGATGTTGAAAGGCTGAAAAAAGAGGATAAATTCCAAGATGTTCTACTTCACAGAAGCTGCAATTTAAGCTACTAACCAAGATTCTGTTTCATTTTAACATCTAATTTAATAAAAAGTTATGAGTGGACTTCAACCTCCAAATTGGACAGAGTCAGGATAACTGTTTCAATTATATCAATTATAGAAAAAAATATTCTGGGTCTTTTATACATATACACTTATTCTAACAAACACATAATACCTGAATATTAACTGAGTCCTCATTCTATATTGAAAGAGGTCTAACCAATAGTAAATCACATGGTTTTCTCCTTTTGTTCTATCTTTATCCTTTTCCCCTAACAGTTTTATAAAAAACTAACAGACATTTTAATCATTAAGTAGTCTTCAAATTTTAATCAGTATTCATGATAAAGGAAATGGAACTTTCCTAACAAATCATGTAAATTTTCCTTTACTGAGATACTAAGCTTTGACAGTGTTGTTTGTTTCTAAGATTTGCTATGTAAGTATTAAATGGAAACAGGAATAGAAAGGAAACAGCAATAATTTGAGGTAACTATTTTAATTTTTCTCTTCTCCCTTCTCTATTGTATCCTCCTCTTTTTTCCATCTAAGAAAAGCCACAGAGGATGAAAACTTAGTTTGAATATTGCTATGGAATCAATGAGTTATCACTGCTTTAGATTTGCTTCAACTTACCCACGTTTGATGTTGTGTAATTCCTTGTCTTTGCTTTTATCCTTCTCCTTTTCTCTTTTCTCCTTATCTCTGCCTTTACGGCGTTCTCTATCCCGAGACCTACTACGCGTTCTTCTGTGACTGGACCTTTCACTGCTTCGACTATGGGAACGTGGACGAGGTCTTGACCGGGACCTACAATAAGTAGATTTCATTAAATACATTTAATGAATATTTTGTATTATGAAATAAAAATTTCCTTAAAAATTATCTGAAAGAAAAAAGATTTAGTTTTAGTTAAGGATTCAGTAGTTAAATAAGTGTGAAAAGCAAGCATCTAAATATGATTCTTTATGAATAAGTACTCTGTTAGAATGATACATAAGGGAAATATATGTTGTCAACAAACTTTAAAGGAAATTAAGGCTTACTCAAAAAGTGTTTGTTTAGTCAAAAAGTCTTAAAGTTCAAATCAAGTCTTCATTATTCAAATCTCATCAAGGTAACATAACAAATCTAAATGTATCCAATCTAATTTCCAAGGATAGGGTCTTCTCTATTCTTACAATCTCTGCATCTATATTGACTCAACCTTATTTCCTATTTCTAATTGTTACAATAAAACTATTCCTCTAGTCTACTACAATCTAGCTTTCCTTTGTATAAAATGAAGGACAAAATTAGGTCGGATACATTATGTGCTTTTAAAAAGTAAAGATTTTTAGATCCTGTCTTACAGTATTGACAAGAAAGCCTCCACCAGACTGATGATCTCACAGAAACTATAAAAATAAACTATCTGAAGTCACTGAATAGTGATCAAAAGAAGGCACTGACCTTTAAAAAGAACAAAACCTTACTATTTATATATGTTGCTGACTTATTTAATGTAATTTCAAGCAATTAGATTATGAACCAAGAATGATGGGCAAGCCAACACATGGGAAAAGAAACAGCAATAAGAAAGTTTGCCATTTTATCAGTTTCTTTTCTGATGACAAGCCTAAGTCTGCCATGCCAGACAGATAAACCTCCAACAGAAAACTTTTAAATTTCTGGCCTGAAAAATCAGAACAAAGATTCAGGGCAACCATCACAAAAAGAAAATGAAAGGGAAATCCTGCAAAAGAGTCAGAAGAGGAAGCCAAAAATTCTAGATGTAATTCTGTTCAAATCTCTAGCTGAACCCTACATCATGAATATGAAGAGCAGATTCCAAATAGCTAAGGACAAGAGAACTGAATTAAAATTTCAACTGCCCCCAAAGAGACTGGATTTTTATAATGTTAATTGAACTAAGTTAATTCCCTGAATTAAAAAAAAAAGTAAACAAAGAAATCAATATTCTTTGGAGAAAAATAACAGAATACAGAGTATTAAAAAAAAATGACATTCACCATGTCCATGATACAATCCAAAATTACTAGATGTACAGTGAAACATGAACAATGTGATCAACTTTCAAGAGAAAAAAATAGTCAATAATGACCAACCCTGAGCTGAGCCAGATGTTGAAATTAGCAGGCAGGATTTTAAAATAGTAAGTATAACTATGTTTATAATCAATATAAAGTAAAGACATTTCTGAAGAAAAATAATAGAAAATACAAAAATTCTGTAACTGAAAAATACAATATCCAAAATCAGCATTACACTAAATGAGAGCAAAAACAGAGTGATAACAACACAGGAAAAAAATTCTGTGTACTTGAAAACAAATAAATCAAACTTATCCAATCTGAACAATTAAGAGGGAAAAAAGGCTGTTAAAAGAAAGAAAAACCCCTGGGATCTGTGTATTCAAGTGTCTAACATGTTTATTTAAACCCAAAAGTACAGAAAAATAATGAGGCAGAAAATTATTTTTTTTAAGTGGTGGTCAAAATTTCCCCAAATTTAGTGAATGAAAAGTTTACAGATTCCAGAAGTTTAGTGAACACCAAAATAAATATGAAGACCATGACTAGTAATACTATAGTCAAGCTGATGAAAACTAAAGGTGTAGAAAAATCTTGAAAGTATTCAGGAAAAAAGCTGACACACTACATACAAGGGAACAATGATATGAAATACTGCTGGTTTCTCATCAGAAACAATAAAGATCAGAAGACAATGGAATAAAATTCTTAACATGGCGAAAGAAAAAAAAATCACCCCAGAATTTTATATCCAGCAAAAATATCCCTCAGAAATAAAAGTAAATCAAAGACATTTTTGAGATAAAGGAAAAGTAAACCATAATCATCAACAATTACTAATCTGCATCATAGTAAGTACTAAAATAAGTTCTTCAGGCTGAAGAGAATGATAAATGATGGAAACTTGGATCTTTAGAAAGGAAATGAAGACCACTGGAAATGGTAAATATATAGGTAAATGTAAAAAAACTACTTCCCTTTATTTAAAATATGTATGCACTTGAAGAACTACAATATTTTACTATAGGGTTTATGAAGGGAGATATAATACATATAATCGCTACAAAATAAAGTATGGAGCAGATAAACAGACCTGTACAGTTAGATTTGTTTCTACATTTCACATGAATGGTGAACAGTAACTCTTAGTACACTGAAATGGTAAGAGTATATATGTAATCCTTACAGCAACTACTTAAAGAAAAGGGAAAAAAAAAAAGAATAAGAAGGAGAAATGAATGCCAAGAAGTGTAGCTAAAGAGATGAACTAAAAGAGAATTCTTTAAAATATTCATTAATCCAAAAGAAGGCTAGGAGGGAGGGTATAGCTCAAGTGGTAGAACCCACACTTAGCAAACACAAGGTCCTGGGTTCAATCCCCAGCAACTCCTCCAAAAATAAATAAATAACTAAACCTAATTACCTCCTCCAAAAATAATTTTTAAAAGCTAAAAGCAAGTACAAGGAAACAAACAAAAAAGGGACAATAAAATAGTAGACAAATCTAAACATATTAGTAATTAATTTAATTAATTTTAATTAAAATGAATTAATTTAACTAAAAAGCAGAGCTGTATCTCCTTTTCTCTGTCATTATGATATGGAGTTGACTCTGTTCCTCACATGCCTTCTCACAAGACTCAGGATCAAGCAATTCCTGAGCAAGAGACCAAAGTACAGTACCATTTCCCAATGGATTCAGATGAAAATAAGCACTAAAATCAGGTACAACTCCAAAATGAAACAATGGAGAAGAAACAAGCTGGGTCTATATGAAATCACATAGGAGATGTCACATATACTTATGCTATATCAAGGTCATTTACATCTTAACATATCACTCTGAAAGCATCACTACTATCTGGACAGTTGAATGTGTTTCAATTAAAAAAATGACTTTTTACTTTGTTTCTATGTCTCTGCACTGGTAGGCTGGTTCAGTAATAAATATGTGACACCTTTTGTTTGAGAGGAAAAATAGCAGAGCTTGTCCAAATTAATTATTAAGCAACACATAACTATACATGGTCTATAAGATATGCAATTTAAATACAGACACAGGTTGAAAATAAATGGCTAAAAATAGATATATCATGTAAACAGCAAACACAGAAAGGCTGGAATGAATATATTAAAATCAAATAAACTAGAGTATATCACCTTAGACACTTAGAAACTAAGAGTATCACCCCAAATAATAATGTACACTTCATGTGATCAAAGGGTCAATTCATAAGCAGAACTCATACAGAATATGTTTATTGTACCACAACAGAATTAAATTAGAATTCAATAACAATAAAACATCTAGAAAAAAACCAAAGGTGTAGAAATACACTTCTGAATAAGTCACAAGTCAAGTAAGAAATCACAGGAGAAATGAGAAAATATTTTAAACTGAAAGACAATGAAAATACAGCATATAAGAATTTGTGTGATGCGGCTAAAGCAATGTTTAGAGGAAATTTTATAGCTTTAAATATTTATATTAGAAAAGAAGAAAAGTCTAAAATCAATTACCTAATGTTTCATCTTTAGAAGCTAGAAAGAAGAGCAAAGTAAACCCAAAGTAAGTAGAAGAAAGGAAACATTAAAGAGCAAAACTCAATGGAGTAGGAAGCAATAAAGAAAATTAACAAAGCCAAAATCTGGTTTGCTGAGAGTATCAAAAATATTTGGTAAATCCCTGACTAGACTGATAAAGAAAAAAAAAAAAGCAAACACAAATAACAACAAAAAAAATTTGTGGATAAAGAGATTGTATGAACTAGCCCCACGTACTTTGGACATGTGTAGAACTTGAAGAGAATCATGAGTTTCGGTGGTAGTTAGTTCTGTCATCTTTCATCCCTAACTGGTTCATTCAGTGAATAAAAAGCAATACTGTATCATAAGACCACAAACTCTTTTTTAAAATGTGATTTTGAGAAGTTACAATATTTATTGCAAGGAATGTCGACATCAGTTCATTATCCTAATTTACAAAATTTTAATTTCCATCATTTTCTCTTTCACTACTCCCTCTCTTAATTTTGACAAATGCTTCTTTCCACATAAAGTTTTAGTTTACAGTTTATTGCCCCCACAGATGTTATCTATTCATTTCTAATTCAGTCTTTTATTATATGTGGATATACAGAAATTTTAACAGATTATTCCAAAATCTTTGAACAATAATTAGAATTTAAAGTTTTCTGGTTAGGGGAGGGTATAAAGCTCATGTGCTTAGCATGTACAAGGTCCTGGGTTCAACCCCCAGTACCTCCATTAAAATAAATAAATAAACCTAATTACCTTACCCCCCAAAAAAAATTCTTAAAGTTTTCCAGTTAAAAGAAAGTAACAGTAATAATAATAATAATAATAATAATAATAATGGCCTTTTTTGTGATAACCACAGCCACTATATATATATATAGCATGTGTATATATATATTGCATGTATATACAGTATACTATCTTAATTTGGTTCTATTTTATGAATCTGGAAATTAGTTTTCACTTAACTAGTAAAAAAGCAGAGTAACAAAAGTAGAGTAACAAATCTTGGTTTAAACACTAACAACAAATCTCTAAGAGCTTCTTTATCTTAAGTAAAACCTCAGAATAAGCTCATTTCTTAGTTGTTTGTCACTAAGAAAAATATACTGTTGGACAAAATGTGTAATCACTTGTGGATTTCAGATAAGGTAGATTTTGGTGAAATCTTTTTTTTTAACTGTATCTTTAAAACTAAATGTATCTCCTCTTAATATAACCATAGCTACAGAAGCAGTA